TGTGGGTGTGGGTGGGTGTGGGTGTGGGTGGGTGTGGGTGTGGGTGTGGGTGGGTGTGGGTGGGGTGTGTGAGTATACGGGTGTGGTTCAGGCAGAAGAGAACATTAAAGACCACATCCACACCCAACACCCACACCCACACTCACACCAACCCCACACCCACACCCACCACACACCCACACCCAAAATCTTTCTATCAGTATCGCTAATGGCAAAGGAATACTAGTTCACGTCACAATCAAGATAATGAAAACCTACTTCTACAACTATGACATTTCTCGCAATACATTATTCTCATGAAGAAAGTTCTGTTTAATAATTAGAATGATTTTCTGTACATATTTTCAAACTAATAAAAAATCCGAGTTATTTCTCCCGCTTGAAGTGGGTCCATAAAAAGGGATGCAGCTGTGCACGTGGGTATAAGACTTGTTTTCATTTACAATAACATCCATACATACTTCAAACCAATGAAACAATAAGAAAAGTTTTCCAATGTTATAGTATCTTTTATATATCATAAAACTTAATTAAAATCAATTCATATTTCTTGTTCATTTTTTTGTTTTCTTATAAGAATATTAAAGTTTTTACATGATTTATTTTTATTCAATCTATCAACATAGACTTTAATTTACAATGAAGGAAAATATTGATAAACATCTTTTGAAAATGTTATTGACTCTTCAACAATTAATTGATTCACTTTAGAACAATTACGACGCATTGCATCTATTGTAAAATTCATTGTTACAGTTTTTAAGTCATAGTAATTCACTTTTAAGTGTGTTAAATGTGGTAGATGTGTCTTTGTTTCCAAAAGAAATTGTTCAATATAGTTGTATTTCGCACGCTTGAGATCAAGTAATATTAGATGAGTAAATTCAATAACTGAATATGATGAATAATCATTATAATTGCCATATTGCATTTGCCAATTCTCTATAGAGAAACATTTGAGCAATGGAAAAGCTTGACTAATTTGCATGAAGAATTCATGTTCGAATGGAATTAAATCATATACAGATAAGTGAGTTACACTATCAAATAAAATAAATGGAAAGTGAGTTGTAATCATTTCCAGATGAGTAAATGTGAATGGAAGTGAGTAAACATGGCATATGGTTCCAATTGCACCAAAATAATCTATAATACAACCTGTTTGTCCATATTTTATATTTGTAAATGTTTGTTGAATATCATCACTAGATATACGAGAACGTGAATAATCACTGACAGTTTGTGTACTAATATAAAAGTTGAATGTATGAAGTTGAGACATATGAACAAGAATTTTATTCTGAAGATATGTCCCATCAACATATGGACTTGTATTAGGATCAATTCGACCACTCTTTCCCATACGAAGATATAAAGTTAACTTTTCCAGATGAATCATACGACGGAGGAGTGACGCAATCAAATCATGA